CCTTGACCATTCTCTCAAAACCTCCAAAAAAAAAAAAAAAATTCCAATTTCATCATGCAAATCAGTCTCTAAACAAAAGAAAAAAAGTAAATACAGCACTTAACCTAGAACTCCAGTAACTAAAATCACGACATAACATGTATGCTTTTACATATATTCCTTTGACTCAATTAAATTGGAACTCTAGCAATCAATTTGGGCAAAAAGCTATTAATATTAGGATTGTGCACCTTGAAATGAAGATATAACCATGATTCCTTTTAGTAATTGAATTACTGTGTTCAAAAACGCTTGCTTCAATCTGTCCACTGCAAAATAATCCTTCTTGACTTACCGTGCACAACTAAGTTTAAATAGTCTAGAATAATGGTCTCTATCTAAATTAGTCATAACTGCCTAGCTGATCAACTAGAGTAGCCTAAAGAGATGGAACACACAATTTAATTAAAAAATAGTGCAGGAATCCATAAAAAGTAAATTAAGTAGTACTAATTCATGAAAACTGAATTGCATTATTAAAACCTGGCATGGATGAAAGTACATCCTAACAGACATAAATTAGTTACATTATTACAACACTAGAATCTTAGAATATTATCCAAGATTAAATAGTAGCAATTGGTGACACACCTCTCAATCAAATAAAACCATGCTCGTCGCCAATATGGATCTATGTATAGGACTGCTCCAATTGGTAACAAAACAACCACATAAGTAACTAAAAAGCTTATATAGAAAACATCCATATCTATCAAACTGCCTTCTCTTTTTTCATTTAAGGAATTTGGTACCTTTGGTTGTGCATTAGTTTCCTTGCAACTTTTTTCCAATGGAGGTCCACAAAGGAGCGGGTTTCCCTTGTAACTGTTGTTGTCAAAGGTTCCAAATTGTCCTTTTCCATATGGGATAGGACCTAAAAGATTGTTGTGTGCAACACTAAAAACTGCCAAAGAGTTTAGCTCAGTAAGTTGAGATGGAATCTCACCATTCAAATCATTGAAAGAAAGGTCCAAGCTCTCAAGTTGTTTCAAATTTGAGAAGGTAGAAGGTATGGGTCCTGTTAAGTTGTTATGGGACAAGTTAAGTGAATGAATGTCACTTAAGTTTCCCATTGCAAGTGGGATTAAGCCTGTTAATTGGTTGCAAGAGAGATCAATTTCAGACATGTAATCAAGAATGTTGCCTTCATAAGTGTAAGACCACCACTTGGTAACAAGTTCTATCCAATCTTGTATATGGCTACCCAATGGTGTTTGTACCTCTTCCATTAATCTAGCTTCCATTTCTGTTGATGTGTCAAGGTTAAATGTTGAAGATTCGATAATAAGACTCCATGATGAAAATGAATTTGGGGCGCCAATTAAATGTCCCAAACAAGAAGGTATATGACCAGAAAGTTGATTATTAGACAAATCCATGATTCGTAGCTGGTCCAACTCACATATTTCATTCGGAATTTCAGCAAAAAAGAGATTACCTTTTAGACGCAAGATTCTCAAGGAAGAAAGGTTGCTGATCCATTTTGGAATGCTTCCAGAAAGCCTGTTTTCTCCAAGATCTAGTATCTTCAATGAAGAGATGTTCAAGAATGAATGTGTTAGAAGACCATTTAGTCTATTTTTGCTCAAATAGATATGTGATATGTATAGTGAGAATGGACTAGAGCAATGTGGTAGAGACCTAGATAAATTGTTGTGAGATAGGTCGAGAAGCCGAAGGTTAGCATTATAGCAAAATTCCTCTGGAATTGAACCATCAAAGTGATTGTTGGATAAATCCAATTCAAACAAACCAAGGAGATTCTTTGTCCATCTTGGAAGCTTTCCTGACAAATTGTTGTTGCTAATGTCCAATATGCTTAGATATGAGGCCCTAGAAAAGTGGATATTGGATATCTCTCCTTCAAAATTGTTTCTGTCCAGATACAATATACCCAATGATTGAGACTTAAATACACTAGGAGGTATTTTCCCAATCAAGTTGTTATTTGAAAGTCTAAGATGAAATAATGATCTTCCCGTAACAAACTCTTTTGGTAATGTTCCAGAGAACTGGTTGCTAGACAAGTCTAAATGTTCTAAAGAGTTCATACTAACCAACCACTTGGAAAATCTTCCTCCAAAGCGATTTCCAGACAGGAATAACCATGTTAAATATGGAAAAATCATACTGATATTTAATGGGATTTCACCTTGTATTTGGTTATTTGAAATATCTATTTCCTGAACATCAAGATTAGGTTGTGATGGCAAGTGGAAAGAACCCATGAAAGAATTGTTCTTCATAATAGCAACGTGTAATCTCGTATCATTTTCAAACAACCAATAAGGTAAGGCTCCCATAAATTGGTCAAATGAAAGATCAACATATCTCAAGTCATATAGGTAATAGAGAAGGCTAGGAGGTTTAGTGAGTTCCTCATTTGCCCTACAGTTTGACAAACTAAGGACTCTTGGCTGGAACTTGGGAACCCTTGTTTGAACATGATCATGTTCTGGAACCAATTGATTGAAATCACTCAAGAAGACTTTAAGGTTGGAATGGTTTGCAAATGACTTGAAGGAATCTGGAACTTGAAATTTATTAGTAGAAATTGAGAGATATCGGAGCAAAATAAGATTAATTAGGGGAGAAGACGCAACATTTCCAATGAATAGATTTTGGGAGATATCCAAAAGTCGAAGAGATGTCAAGTTAGCCAAGCAAGAAGGTAGTATCCCTACCAATTCATTTATAGAAAGATCCATCTCTTCAAGATTCTTCAAATCACACCAACCTTGAGTTGGTAAGTTTCCTATGAATCCACAATTTCTTAGAGATATTGACCTAAGAGAACTCAATGCACCAATATTTTGCAGAAAGTTTATGCTAAGAGGGGACTGATCCAAGAAAAGTTCCTCTAGATTGCTCAAAACTTGCGAAGCTGCAAAATGGTTATCATATTAGTTGTGAATATGAGTTGCTGAAAAAAAAATTATGAGTATAGAAATTAATATAAAAAACACAAGCAATAACATTGTAGAATGCCATCTATGTAATACTTACTTTGAATAAACATGGTTTGGTTTAGATGATAGTTAGATGCCAAATAGAGTCTCTTAAGTGATGGGAATGCCTCTAGTGATAACTGTGCTGGCACACTGCTTTTCTCAGGAAATATTCCATCAAGATAAAGAGTTTTTAATTTGCTAAAGCTTGTATTTGCTGTGGATGATAAAAAGAAAATGAAGATTATGTTGAAGAGTTTTGAACAAAACATATAATTAGTTGAAAGATACGTCTCTATCGAAACGAAAAATAAAACAAACATATAGTCACAATATCATTTGATTGATACCATTAGTGGAAACAAATTGGTTGAGTTCATTGTAGCTCATTTCTAGCTCTTCTAAGCATCTTAAAGCATCAAATTCTAGGAGAACCACAAAAAAGGTTATTAGATCACACATAAGTAACAAATAAACTGCTTTCAATGTCTTAGCAAGAAAGAAAAAACGATTAAAGTATGCCTCAACTTACTTGTGACATCTACCAATCCTCTTAGATTATTATCTTCTATATTCAGAGATTTTAGATTTGAAAATTCGTTGACGAAAGATAGCACACTATTGTTGAAGAAATTATAACTCAAATCAAGGACCTCTAGATGGACAAACCTCAAATTTTGTTCATCTGCAAAAAATATATGATCTCATTACAACCAATTTTGTTAATATTAAATATTACCTTAGGAAACAAATTAAATATATGTACCTTGGGAAGATTCGAGGCTTTCAATGTCATTATGGCTCATGTCTAACACCTTTAAGTTTCTCAAATTACTCAATTCTATTTAAGCTCATCATCAAAATAAAAGAATGAAAAATATGTTTAATTGCAATAAAATATTACAGGATAACACAGCTTTTTAAGGGAAAAGATATAATAAAAATGAAAACGGGTGAAAGCAAGCTTAATTACCTCTTGTACCCAAAGTGCCATTTAGTCTACAATAGGACAAGATTAGAGTTTTTAGAGATGAAAAACTACTTAAGTATGATAGAATGTTGTTGTTCAAGTCCTTATTATCACTTAAGTCGAGAAATTCCAGATGGCGAAATCCTGACAGCTTTTCAAAATCAGCTCCTACAAATTACAATTTCAGAACATAAAGTTTTTATTTAAAATGATAAATATTATATCATCTCTAATAAACATATAATAAAATTTGTTAAATTTTTACCGTCTCTATGGTTTGATGCTATCATTAAGTTGCAGCCTCTCAAACTCAAAGACTTGAGAGATGGAAGCTCACCCAAAGATGTTAAGATATTAATATTTAAGTCATTGCCACTAAGATCAAGGATTTTCAGATTTCTCAAATTAGAAAACCTCATGAAACCTGCAATATAATTTTTTGCAGCTCATACAAGTTAGTTATGGGTTCAATTTTGAGAATAAAAGAAATATAAATTGCAAGAGTAACAAAAAGGAAATGGTTTCCCATACACCAAAGATGAATTGGTTGAGTTCTGTTCAAGTTCACCATCAAAAGAAAAGAAGGAAAACTATTTTTAATTTCAATAAAATAGTACAATACGACACATCTTTTTAAGAGAAAATTATAATAGAAATGAAAACGAGAAGAAAGCAAATTGAATTATGTCTAGTACTCAAAGTTCCGTTTAGTCCACAATTCCGCAGGATAAGAGTTTTCAAAGATAGAAGACTAGTCAGATATGGTAGTACGTTGTTGTTCAAATCTATATTGGAACTTAAGTCAAGAAATTCCAAGTGGCTGCGTCTTGACAGGCTTTCAAAATCAGCTACTATAAATTAACAAATCAAAGCATTATGTCTTTATTAAAATAATCAATATTGCATCAAATTTGGTAAACTTATAACAACAATAAGTTAAAATCTTACCCTCCTTGTGATTTGATGCTATCATTAAGTTGCAGTTGGCTAGATTTAGAGATTTAAGAGATAGAAAATCACTCAAAGATGTTAAGATACCATTATTCAAGTCATTGTCACTTAGATCAAGGATCTCCAAACTCCTCAACTTAGAAAGCCTTTTAAAACCTGCAATACAATTTGTTGCAATTTATACAAGTTAATTATAGATTCAATTTTCAGAGTAAAAAAATTTTAATTGCAAGAGGAAACAATAAGGAAATGGGTTCCCATAAACCAAAGATGAGCAGAAATTCATCAAATTGTACCATTAGTATGGTTTGACACTTGAAAGTGGTTGCCTGCAAGATTTAGAGACTTGAGAGATGAAAGCTCACTCAAAGAGAACAAAATTTTGCTATTGAAGTCATTCCAACTCAAGTCAAGGAATTCCAAATTGCTCAACTTTGAAAGCCTATGGAAATCTGCAAACATATCAGAGGAATTGTTCAATTTGCTTCAATTAAAAAGAAAAAAACAAATAAATAATATATAGGAGAATAAGAATGAAATGAAATTACTTATATGTATATTCAAATATGTTTTGATAACCACATAATTAAGTTGAAAGGTGTGTCAATAGATAAAAACCTTCATTTTCAACGAAACCATTTATTCCATTCTCAGCCAAATTGAGACTCTTCAGTTCCTCAAATGGGAGAAACAAAGAGGCATTAAGATATGAGTTATGCCAACCAGACACGTCATCAAGATGGAGTTTGATAACTCGTCCACTGGAGGGGTTGCACTCAACCCTTTCCAATCGACAACAATCTGAATTTTCCTTTCCTCTCCCCCAATTTCTCAAACCCCAAGGATCATTGAAGAAAGACTTGAGTTGTAGTAGAGCAATTCTCTCTTGCTCCAAACACCCTTGGCACCACATCCCTTCTAATAAGAAGAGTGTAAGTACCACATACAACCATTTCGAATCCAGCAAAATAAGGAGCGAGTGCATATACTCAGATCAAGCAAAGAGTGCTAATTGTGCTGTCTTTGTGCCATAAACACAATGTGCCTTAAGCCTTTATATACAAGTAAACAACTACTCCATGGCTTCATGATTTGTCATAAATTGGCCCCACACGCTTATTCAAATTTGGTGGGCTTCTATTTCTTCTTGGCAGTTTCACAACAAATATTTCCTTTTTGCTTAATTTGTTTGTCTTCATTTCATTTGGAAAATGAATAAAAAGATAAGGGACCAAGGAAAATTAAGACATTTTAATACTTAAAATGTCAAGAATGATAATGAAAAGACTAATATATATACCTTTGATGAATTAACATGCAAAAAAAACACATTAAGGATACAAAAAACAATTTTATAAGAGATCTTGGCATTTAAAATGCCAAGGTGTCTTGATTTTTATTTTTTTTCAAAAGAAAATATAAAATTTTTATTAATTCATGATAAATAATAACTTCAAAACATTAAAAAGTGGGTATCCCTGGTCCTTTTGTTCGCCACCATATCCGTTTCCTGTCACGTTATCTCCTTTATTGATCCATTAATTCATGAATTAAAAGCCCTTACAATTTATGGTGTGTAATACTTCAATCCTCCTTGCAATTCGATTCTTATGAATTAAAAAATAATTTACTTGTAAAATATGATTTGCAATTATTTCTTGTTAGTCCCAATTTTTTTTGACCATTACTTATAATTACTCACATTTTGGATAAGACTGGATCTAATTTTTAGTTATTACTAATAAATAGTTTTTCTTATATATTAGGAAATTTATTTGCATTTCTAGTAATAATATTTTATTATTTTTTTATGGGAAACAATTTCATTAATGTAATCTGGTTTAAATTATAGGACTGTTAGCAAGGGAAAAATGGAACAGACGAAAGCATCACCAATCCTACCCAGCACTTGCTAGCATTTCATTAAATAAGTAGTAATATTTTTATTTTTTATTTTTTTAATAGGAAATAGAGAAATAATACTTGTCCAGTTCAACTATTAAAAATATAATATAAGTACAGTTAATTCAGTCAGTTCTTGTTTTTTATATGCATGATTATATTTTTAATTTTGTTTATATTTAATTTTATATTAAAATATAATGATTTTTAATGAGTGTATTGTGCAGCATGTTGAATCGGTAGATGTATTAATCAATATCCTTTTATAAAACCAAACATACTATTAGCATTTGTATTTCATTTTATGAACCGGGGTGACCTTGACTTAGAACTTCAACTAAATGTAAACATGTACTCTATTATTGATGGAGATGGTTATGATCCACTAATTTAGAAAAGTCATAAATACTATATTATTGTGATGATTATTGTCAAATTATTAAACATTCCCTTCAAATACGGCATATCTATTATTGATGGAGATGGTTATGATCCACTAATTTAAAAAAGTCATAAATACTATATTATTGTGATAGTTATTGTCAAATTATTAAACATTCCCTTCAAATACGGCATATAAAAACAATTATGTTATTCTATGTTATGCAGTGGTAATTAATGGTGGAAATGCACTAATATATGATCATGCCAGTGGTTTTATCCTTTGTAGTGTGATTCCTCCTTCCTCAATTTCTAAATGTTAAAAAAAAAAAGAAAAGAAAAGAAAAGAAAAGCAATTATGTTAAGGGACCTTGATCTTCGTATCAGCTTTCGCTGTTAATTTTTTCGATGAGACTTATTAACTTAGCAGTAACCCTCATGTACATAATTTTTTCGCTAAGACTGCTTGACTTAGCATTAACCTTCAATGTACAAAACCTTTCAGGAAATTTCTCTATTAATTTATGTTCTTGCCACCAAGTTAATTAATACTTTGGAGAAGGATATTTTTTTAAATCTGAAAAGGAATAATAGAATGAATATCGGAGACACTCAAAAGAAACTCTGAAACCTTACTCTGATGACATGTATAAAGAATAAAAAACAAATATTTTTAGGGCTTGTTTGGTTGTCCTAAGAGCTAATCTAAAGTCAAACTATAATTATATAAGTTTTTATTTTTCCTTTCAGTTTGGGACCACAATGAAGGAACTATCATAAATTGTTCTAACAAATTTTTATTTTAACTAATATTTTGAGGATTCATTGTAACAAAAAAGTAAATTACATATTTTATAATTATTAATTAAAAATAAATTTTTTAATATTATGGTGATCATTATTTTATTAATTATTATAAAATATACAATAAAAAAATAATTTACAAAACTGCAAACTCTCATTTTAATACCTAAGGAAACATTGCTCGTATTATAGATGGCAAAGACCTTGACTTACAACATTGGCGTGGACAGTAAAGATCAAAAACCTGACTTGCAATTTGGATATGATATCAAAGAACAAAAACCTTGACTTACAAGATTGGCGTGGACAGCAAAGACCAAAAACCTTGACTTGCAACTTGGATATGATATCAAATAACAAGACTCTAAAACATGGCCAGGTTATCATCCCACAAATAATTGTTAAGGTTATATGAAATATTATAAATGTATTTAGTTTGTTTGATTTTATTAGTTTATAGTTAGTTAAGGTACTTAAAAATATTAATTTATAAATTAATTTCAAATAGTCAAGTAATAAATATTAATTATTTTATTAATTATCAATTAATAGTTATAACTGTTAGTTACTCTTAACAGCCAAAGCAAACACAACTATCATATTTTTGAGTAACCCTAGCAATTATTTGTGTGGACATAACGATGGACCCAAACATGTATTCTTCTTCTTTTTCTTCTTCTTCTTCTTCTTTTTGTCATGGTTATGAATTGCCAAATTTAGAAGAATAATAAGTAATTACGATTTCCAAATGTTTTTTTATAATAATTAAATAATGTGATTTTACTAATAGATAAAGAAATAAACATTCCAATGAATTATAATCCCTAAATGGTAGCCAATCGAGAAACAAGAATTAAATCTATAACATCTAATACCAAGGTGCTAAACACTCATAAGCGAATCATTCAATGACAAATAAGAAGCTACTTAATAGTAGTGATTATAGTACTAAGCGCTACAGGGGCAATAATATGGTTACAAAGTATAAAGACCACCAATTAAACATCACTAGCTATATGGAAGTCTTTATGCAAGCTCTATGAGTTACTATATTACTAACAAGCAATAGCCCCTATTTACTATAAGTCAGATGATGAGAAAATCAACTTTCTCCAACTGCGGGATCTAAACCCCCTTCCACTCACCAAAGCAACTCTTGAATTATGAATTAAGAGTTTTGAAGCTAACCCCTTAGGCATTATTGTCTCTTTCTCCCTCAATGGTTAGGGTAGATTAAAGGTGAGAGTTTTCTCCTCTCTTATGAGAGTTTCTTCCTCTCTTGTGAATGTTTCTAAGGATTTCTACCTTGACTTTTTTGATAGCTTTTATCAAAGTTCATTTTCGTAGGAGGAAGATGGCAACTTGAATGCAATATTAGTTGAACTCCAGATTAGTTGTCACATTTGTTTTAACTGTTGAGGGCATGATTGGGGATGGAATCCCTAGCTAAATTTTTTTGCCCAACAAATTTATCTTCTATTTAGATGGATTATGCTAAAATGTGAATTGCTAAATCTTAAAATTGGATCTAGCCACAATATTCTAGTAGTTATTAAATTATTTGATTTTGCATTTTCATGCATTTTATGAGTATAAAATCTCTAGCATATTGCCCCATTCGAATTGGTTTTGGAATTCTTATGGTTTTCTTATATCAATGAAATTTTATTTCTCATTAAAAAAAATGATTTTTGAAGCTAAAAAAACACTTAAAATTTTGGATTATTCTATAAAAAATGTTTTGACCCCTAAAGCATCTCGTTAATTCAATTGAAAAATGATTGATTTGCATTAGGTTCAATACACTTTTTGATACTCATCCTAATTCATCAATTAAAATATAATATAAGTACAATCAGTTTAACTAATTCCTACATTTTGTACTTATGATTATATTTTTAAATTTATCTATCTTTAATTTCATATAAAAAATAATAAATTTTTAATAAATGTAATATGCATTGTATACAATCATAATATACATCAATCACTATCCAATTCAATTAT